CCCCCACTTATTTAATTTCGTGAATTTTCGAGAAATTAAGTTTTGCAGTTTAACTTAAGTAAGTTTTGTTGAGCCACTTAAATGTGTAGTTTATTACTTAAAAAAGCAGAACGTCTTGGAGAAATCAATTGTTTTTTGGTTTTTTTTTGTTGTTTTTTGTTTTTTTTTTTTTTCTTTGTAAAATAAGAACACCAGTTACTGAAAATCTGCCTGAATCATGAAATAAAAAATGCAATAAAACTAAGACATTATTTAATTAGAAAAGCTTTTAATTGCTTTTATGAATAAGATATAGACACTATTGTCTTAAGAAAAAAAATTTTCAATTCAATGAATTTTTAAAACTTTTGATTTTGTTAAATTTTAATTAGGATGATTTAAAGTTTTAAATCTTTTAAATTTCTGTATTACTTTGTGCCTGTTAGTTGATATTGTTATTAAGTAAAGACTACTAATCATAAGTGGAAAAACTTAGTACAATTTATCAATCATCAATATTTTAAAGAATTTTGACATTTTTTTTCCTGTTTGTCTGTATGTATAAACGTGCCGAATTTTGTAGATACGGACATCCATACATGACATTATCAAAAAAATAAGAGTGACTGACAACTGTAGAAAATTGAAAGCTAAATTACCTAAAATTTAATAAAACATTAGATTATGGAGAATATTTTCCTAAATGTTTAAGATTACTGGGTAGTTAAAAATTGTATTACAAAAAAGGAACTTGCATTATATTGCTCAAGTAAATTTTACAGATATATATATATATATATATATATATATATATATATATCCACTGTAGAAAAAAAATAGCTTGAATGACAGACAAGTTTATCTGTCAACTCCTAAAATAAACAGGTACTTTTGTGTTAAAAAAATGTATTTCTGCAATGTTTTAAACTTAAAGTAATAATTCAAATCAGTCTAATTAAACTTTAAATCAGCTAATATTCTTCAAATAAAGTTTCAGAAAAGTATTTTTTTAAGATTTTTTACTAAAAAAAGAATTATATTGTGATGATAGATGGCTAAAAATGGCACTAGAATCATCAGATTTTAATGATTTCAAAATATAAAACGCCTTCTAAACAATTTTAGAATGTTACCTATTTTAAATTTTGATAATGTTTATTTTCCCATGACTCTTTTCCTATTTTAACACAACTTTTCTTTTAATCCTCTTGTTATCTTTTATATATATATATATATATATATATGTGTGTTTGTTTGTGTGTGTGTATGTCTTCTCTCCTATTTTATCTCATTCTTGCTCTCTCTCATCCATCACTTTTCATACACGTTTATTTGTGACACCCTTACTAAACAAATAGGCCATTTTGACTAAATTAATGAGGATTATATTTTCTCTTGGTGAAATTGATGACATCAATTTCCATTTGTTGTTCATTTCTGACCTTCATTAAAGTTGTTGTCAACTCGTGCTATCAATAACCAAAAAAAAAAAAAAACTTGAGTTTTATTTACATAGTGATCAACACTTTTGCCTCAGGCCAAAGCTGGCTTCTTCAGCCTTTTCTGGTTACAAATCAGGTGTTTAGTGTCCTTTGTTGTTCTTCTTTACCCCTGTTCCTTTATTTCAATGCAGGACATTGGCATTGTTTTCTACTTTTCTCTCTCCCTCCCTCCCTCACCACCAAGCCTGCAATGAAGTAGATTTAGTCCCAGGGATTCCACCTTAGTGGCAGCACCTCCCTGATGTTACTAATGAGAAAGGATCAAAATTTTATTATGACAATATGTCTAAAGGACCAGGCAATTTCTCTTCTTGAATACAGGTGTTCCTCCAACACCCATCTTGTGGGGAGGTAATTAAATACAAGGATCTGGGGGAGATGCACCTAGCATAGCGTAAATTACATCCAAGTTCATTGTGATCACTATTGCACAAATACCCTTGAGAAAAGTAGGAGTTCATCTCTTCTCTGGTGGGGCAGATTGGATTCTTTAACCTCGATTGGCAGCCAGTCTAGATAAAGGACAACTCTGAATTCAAAACTGGTTGGCATGGGATTGGCAACTCTCTTCCCTCCCATAAAAACCTAATTGCTACAGGAATCTCACCAGCAACCACCTAATGTGGTGAGTCTGTGACCTTTATTCTTCACAGGGGAGCATGCTACTAAGATGGAAAAGGAGATAGTAGCCGTAGAAAGTATTTAGATATTTTCAAAATTCAAATCCTTCTTACTCCTGTTGGAGAAACCCCTCTCTGGTTGACAATGTCTTCAGAGGTGTAGCCGTACTCACCGCAGTTAACCAACTGTGTATTGGTGAGGCAATTTAACCCATAGTTGCAGTAGATGGCCATTGACCTTGAGGAGTTCATCGTTTTAACAGCACTTGTTTTTTGTGTTACAGCATTTTAAATTAGCCATATATATATATATATATATACACACACACACACACACACACACAAGTTTTGTTAAAGACAACTGACTAGGTACTGCAATTAAGTATTTTCTTCAATTTGTCCTGTGTTCTTATAAGTGTTTTCTTTTGTGGACACACAGTGTGTAAAAAAACTCTCTGCATATCCGAGAGCTTAATAAAAATAAAATACAAATACATTAACAATTTTACATACTTTAACTTTTAACTTTTATTACTCCTTGTGGAGTTCTGGGGATGCAATAAGAAGCAAAATGATTTTTATTTCATCAAAAGTAGCATCCTTCCACATGTTTACGTACAAGCAGACACCAGCATTTGTTCATCTTTCCTTCACCTGACTAGCATATTTATTTGTCTCATTGACAAATAGTTATTATTTCATTGTTTATAAATAAACAAAATAATTCCCCTTCAGAAAGGCTATCATGTACATCCATGGGGCCCAGTAGCTTCCATAAAATTAGTCAGCCATGGATGATAGTAGCTGCTCAGCAACTAGTGGTCATCATCACTTTCCTCCCCCATTGTTAGCGGGGTTATCATCTCCAACCACTTCACCGTCAGTATCCACTTCAGTAAAGCCTTCAAAATCATCATCGGAGTTCGAATCCGTTATACCAGAACATTACCTATTCTATTGTAATAGACTCTCTCACAGATAAGTAGTAGTAGCAGTGGCCAGTTGGGCTCAGTGGTGTTGAGCGAGTCGGTCGATGTCAACCATCACAACTAGATTGCTGTGTCATTAACTCTTATTTCAAGATCCTAACGTTTTGTACGTCGAACCTAATTTAGGACGACTTATTGAAATACAAGCCTCCACTGTGAAAACTACTCTACAACAGAATCAAAGAAAAAATTTTGTTGGGAGGGGAGGTCTCACTGACTGGTGATAACTGATTCACTGCTTTGTGACCTATTCATGTCGATGTACCCTAATAAGGATGGTTTATTCCAGCAGAATAAAGCATGATATCATCAAATCCAAGTTGCCCAACCTGTTCCCAAACAATCATTGAAGTTAAGCAACATTGAGCTTGGTCAGTACCTATATGAGTGACTGCTTGGGAATACCAGGTGCTGTAAACTTGGATGATAGATGGTTTAATGGATAGTGGCTTTGAATTTTTAATCGGAGGGCCAAGTTCCTGTGTTCCCAAGAATATATTACCTGCAGTTTCCACACTCACTTTGTGAACCTTTAGAGCTTTTTCTGTCACCCTGTCTATAGAAAAAAAAATTCATGGTTTGTTACCAGCAAGGTGTTCAGGGTAACACATTACAAGGAATGCAAAAACTGGAGCTGATGCAAATGCATCCCACCCCAAACACACACCCCTAAATTATCTGAGGAAGGATTGAGAAGACACAGCCCCCAAAATCCTTTATCCGCCCCCCCCCCCGGAAAACTGGCACCAGTAATATCCCTTAGGTCTTATATTCAAAGTTGAAATATGTTTGGCTAAAATATTTACCCAGATGCTTGTACTTTACAAGCACTTATGCTTCACCTATGTCCCTAATACTGAAATATTAAATGTAAAAGGGTGGGCTGCTTATTAAATACAAAATATGAGAGAGGCTTAACTCTGCCAAATTTAAACACCCCAGCTGAAAAATCCATTTGCTTTTAATGTTTACGTATGAAACATAAATAGTGTTAAAGTCCCATGACACTATACTCTTTAATGCAAAGACTATATCAAGTTAAAATAAGATGTGGGGAATAGGAAAAAAGATGGAGGAGAAGGGGGGGGGGTCATGTGATGGAGAAATAAAGATTCAAGGATTACAACAACATAAAAAAAAAAATCTTTACTGCTTCAAAATTTTTCAAAAAAGACTTTAGTTTTTACTAGTATTTACACTAGTATTTCTTTCAGATTATTTCTAGAGTTTTTCCACTTAGAAAATTACATTTTGTTGACCCTCAAATGATGGGAAATCGTCAATTGATATTTCATTGCTGATATGTGCTAATCTCCAATGGATGATTTAAACTTTTTTTTTAGATACAGGCATCATTGGTTCATAATGAGTTTAAATGACTAATTGACAGTTCTAGAATTCCTGATGTTTCATTATTTCCTGGAGTTGCAGATAAATCTGGAAATAAAGCTGGAAATAAATCTGGAAATACAAACCAAAAACAGTGCAATGTCTGTCTCTTTTCTCTTTGAGATGTATGCAGGCAAAAAATGGTGATAAATTGGTACAAAGAATGCATCACTCCATTATGTATGGATGGCTTCAAGGAATACCATACTCCTATAAAGAAGCACCATACTGTCAAAAAGGAGTATTGTAATGGTAAAGAATATTAAATTTAGAGACCTAACATGTTTGATTTTCATTTTTTTTCTTTATTTTTATAATCTACAAGAGTTAAAATATCATTTTGATAGTATTTGTCTATAAATTGAAAATAAACACAAAATCTACTGTTTTAAAAATAAAGGAATTTGTTTGTTATTCATTTTGTATGCAAATTTGTGCAACCTTTTCTCTGCCATTTAAGGGTTAATATCCAAAATTAATATTCTTCTTCAAATCTGACTTTTTTTTTCTTTTCTTTTTAGATGCCCTGAAGATGGTAGCAAGAAGGCTAGATGGACCCTTCAATATTGAATCTGTTGTTGATCCTATCAATGTTAAGATATCTGATGCCATCATGACATACCAAAATAAGGCTGATTTCGTTTCAACAAAGGTAAGACCTGGAAATGTAGCAACAATCAGTTTACTTAATTTCCAATAGAATATTCTTTGACAATGATACTTATCCTCATCCCTGACTGGTCTGAAAAATTAAAAAAAAAAAAAACAGTCCAGTGGTTAAATCATAAATTTAACTTTTGCAATTTTATAATCAGGATTTTTTTTTTTCTCACCTTATCAAACTGAACAGGTTTTGGGTTGATTTGATGAAATGTTGCTATTTATTATGAATTCTTAAATGTTCCCTTCTTCGTCTCTAGGACACACACACACACACACACACACACACACACACACACATTAAATGTTCCCTTCTTGTTCTCTAGGTCACACACACACGCTGAAGTGAAATGTACCCTTCTTACTCTTTAGGTACCCCACACTCTGTAGTGAAATGCGCCATTCTAGATCACCTTCCCTCCCCTCCCCTGAAGTGAATTGTACCCTTAATATCTACACCCTACATACACACACTTACATATTCTGAAGTAAATTGTAGTCTTCTTACTCTCAAGGACCCACCCTGAAGTGAATAGTTTCCCAAAGTTCATAAACTTCTGGCAAGAAGACAATTCTTTTTCAATCTGATCTTTGCACAATATTTTTAAATTTTATTTAAAGGATTTCATAAGACCTTCAGTAAAAACTTTTTTTAATATCCAATGTGTTTATAAACACTTTTTTCTTTTAATGATGTAACAAAAATATCCCAACAATGTTATGACAAATTAAATAGCATTAAGATATTTTCTTGTGACTTTTTTTTCTATTCTGTTAAAGTCGAAAGGTCGCTATTTGAAAGTGATATTAGCTGTATCTCATTTCAGTCTAAATTTCCCCCCCAAATTTAAACAATGATTATGCATTTTCTTTTAGTAATTACTGAAATTAAACAAAAGTTTACAATAAATGCTCTCTCTGATATCTCAAGTAAACATGTAATCGTACATTTTCTTCAGGTATTTCTAGAGTGTGGCCATCCGTCTTTACGGCAAAAAAGGGATGCTAGTGAACTGAATTATCAGAAATATGACTATGAATGGCCAACTGCCAAAAAGAACCATGTCCGTCCGACAACTGCTGCCGGTACAAGCCTTGACCGTTTGGTGCGGGACATCACTGAAAAAGTGAAGATAGCCAATGATTACTGGATTAACATTCCTAGTTTTGTGTGTCGTGATGAGAAATTGTCGGTACAAGAAACTGATGACGAGAAACTTGATGACCACTTATACAATAATACGGATTTCACTGTGAATCCAGTTGTCGACTGTTGGAGCCCCGCAATGCTAGAAAGGTAAGACTGAATCATTGTTAATGTTCTTAACCAAACATAAATATACTTCTTAAATTACGATAATAGATTGGCATAAATTCAAGGTGGTAACTCAATAATCCACCACCAATTTGTTCATCTAAGTTTATTTAGTAGAATAATGGGTTAGGCCATGATGTTCTATACTAGAGACCTACTCATGGTGCAACTACGAGCTAGAATTGGAGGCCTATTTCAAAAGTTCCTTATTATACTGGGAGTGGCACAATTTTAGTATTGGTTTGGGTTTGTGGTAGTCAGCTTAAGACTTTTTTTTTTTCTTTTGTTGTTGAAGTAGATTCTAGAAGGAACCAAAACCCAATCCTAAGCAGGAAACAAGAGATAAACCTCTACTCCTGTTCAAATTCGTAGAGGTGTTTTCAGCAGTATCACTAGCAAAGAAGAAAACCAGTTAATTTCTTGTGAATATAAAGTAAAACTGCAAATATTAAAAGAACTTCAAGAAAATTTTCTTTATTATAAACATAGCAGCATCAAAGACAGATACTTGCTTGAACTATGATGTTCTATACTAGAGACCCACTCATGGTGCAACTAAAAGCCAGAACTGGAGGCCTATTTCAAAAGTTCCTTATTATACTGGGAGTGATACAGTTTTAGTGTTGGTTTGTGTCTGTTGTAGTTTGATGCTGTAGTTAACTTAAGAAATTCAAAGAAACTTTTGCTTTTATACTTAGAATAACTTCAGCTTATTAAATTGAAGTATAAGATTTATTTATTTCCTTCATGCTTACTATATTAGTTTGTTTATTGCAAAAATGAACCTTATTGCATGAAACTCACTAAAAAAAAAATGTAATTTAGGAATCTTGGAAATTTATTTAAAATTTCCATTTTTCACTTAAAGTTAATTTAATTTTGTACTTTATGAAATTTTTATTTATAATCATAAACTTTAATTTTTATTTGCATCATCTGTATTTCCATTTTAACAGGTAAAAGGTATATTAAATGTTTACCACAGTTCTTAATACCATAACTTTTTTTAATATAACCTTTTACACTGCAAAATTAATGAAAGAAAAAGCTTTGTAATGTTACGGGATTTATATGTAATGTTACGGGATTTATATGTAATGTTACGGGATTTAAAGAATTAATCTGATTTTTTTTTTTTTTTTAGTCTTACAAATGTTGCAAAGGTTTTCTCAAGAAAGTTAATTCTAAAAATGTTTTATGTTTAATCTTTAACCTACTTTTCTTTCTTGATCTTGTTTTTTACACTGCAAAAATGATTTTAAAATGCAGTTATTTGTCACAAAGTTAATTTAATATAAGTACTTCCACTTGCCCAATGAAAAAGGGCCAAAACTTAATAAAAACAGTTTTATCATCAAAATATTTGTTATTATTAAGAGGAAAGATCAAATTATTATTTTTATTAAATTTTTAATCCTTTCTAGTACAGTCAAAATTTTGGTTAAAAAAATTTTTTTTTTTCCACACATCAGCAGTTGATGTAATATTTACAATTAGCCTTTTATTGGTGGAAAAACACATTGATTTGGAAATTCTTGCAAAATCAAATAATTGTCAGATTTTAGAGAAACTTTCAGGACTTATTTGCAAATGAATTTAATTATTTTGGAAAATTTTATTTTTTTTTTTACATATGTTACCCACCGTTTACTTAGTTTCAAGAAATTAAATTGCAATCTCAAAATTTGTTTTATTAGTTAAAAGTAGGACTCTTTAGAAAATTTAAATTATCAGTTACACAGAATCAACTCTGAATCATGAAGTAAAATTACAATGAAATTATGACATTTAATAGAAAAAGCTTTATTAAGGACACTATTGAGAGTAAAAAAATTTTCAATGAATAATGAATTTTTACAAGAATTGTTTTATTTTTATTTTTTTAATTTTAATTATAATAATTTATAATATTATAAATTGTTTAAAATTCTGCATTACTTCAATCCAGTTGGGTGATATTTTGTTATTAAGTGAAAAAAATTCATATTTATGTATCCAAAATTGAAAAGCTCAACAAAAGTCATTTACACCCAATATATTTTTTAAAATTTTAATTATTTTTATGTATATAAAATATTACATAATGTGCCCCTGTTTGAAAGTATCATCGACCATACAAGAAATAATCAGAAAATCAAGAGTAATGACTATAGTAAATTTAAAATCAACATTCCTAAAATTAGATTATGGAGAATATTTTCCAACATTTTTATAATTACTGAGTTCTTAAAAATTTTATTAAAAAGTTGCTCCCACGTCATTGTCTTAAATTACATTTTAACACACAGTCTCCTTAATGACTAAATGTAACAATGACAGGACACATTGAAAAGTTTTCAGCCCAAACACATTCTGTGGTCATTTGAGATTTTTGGCAGTGGCACCTCACTACTGCTGAGTGTCTTTTAGCATTTCCTTGTATCATGGTTACAGAGTTAGGAGGTTAATTCATTCTGGGATCAATCAGATACAAAAGCTCAAATTACTATCTTGAATCAAATCAATTTCTCTATAATTAGATGTGGACCTATAAAGGTAATATTTTGCCTCAAATATGTATATATGTATATACAGGTAATAATCCATTGGTATATAATCCAAGTAAATCCTAATAATGAATATTAAAACTGATCCACAAAGAGAGGTCAATGTATTTATTCAAACAGAGCATATAAATTACATTCAATAGGAATTTAAAATTACCTCAACTTGTGATTTACTCACAAGAATTTTCAAACCAATCAAGGTAATAAAATGAAAAGAATCCTGACCTAAAATAAATTTTAAAACAAGGCAAAAAAAAATGGAAAAAAGACAAAAGTAAAGAAATAGTGAAAAGATAGAATATTAAGAGGGAGAAAGGAGGAGGTCAATAAAGAGTAGTAATGTCTAGACATGGGGATGGTAGCAGAAGACAGATACATGTAGACATGAGCTTGACTTATATTAGAATATTCACCTTGGTTTCAATCAAGGAAAAGACAGGAAATTAGGAAAGATTTTTTATCTTATATTAACAAATTCACTATTACTTCAATATTAAGAGATATATTTATATTAAAAAGAATAAATATATAAAAAATTGTTTCAAAATTATTTATATATTAATAAAACTATTACCATCTATAAGGAAATAAAAATAAAAACTCAGAAGATTTTTTTATTATTTTATATTAAAAACCAATAATAGAGGAATAGTAAATGAAAAAAAACATCTACACTTAAAATTACAAAGATGGTGCATATAAAACGGAGAAAAATATTAGTCGAGTTATTAAATAAAAAAAATATATAAAATATAAGTACAATCTGATAAATAAAAGAAAAAATAAAAGAAAATGAGATATAATAATTAAATATAAATAATATATATAATTATATTATATGAATTATTATATTATTAAATAATACTATTAAATAAAATTACTATATTAAATAATACCATTATTAAATATTAAGTAACTACCACTACCATTATATTATTAAATAATATTATTATATTATACAAATTATATTATTAAATAATATATAATCATTATACTATATTATATAAAAAGAAAGAGATATAATTATTAATTATAAATACATATATATATATATATATATATTCTTAAAAAGAATAAACCCTTTAAAAGAAAAAATACCATTTGAAAAAAAAACCTTTTATAAACAAATAAAATATAGAATAGAGATAAATTAAGAGAAATAATTTAAATAAATTAAATAAAATAACCATGAGAATAAATAAAAAAATAATTAATAATTACAATCTAAGTATAGAGTCATAATTTGAAATTAAAAGTTAAATATATATAAATCTAAAAACAAATAAATGATAAAAAAAATTGATAAGGAAACCTTATAGTAAGAACACAAATTAATATTAAAGATAATAGTCATCATAACAATAATAGCATTTGGACAAAAAAAATATTTATGGGTGAGTAAGGAAAATTTAGGAAGGTTATATGATAGGAAAAGAGGAGAAGAAGAGTATATGTGTTAGGTGATAACAGTTTACGCAAGTTCAGTAAAATTCTAGATCAGTTTGAATCTACTTCGGTGATGACATTTAGAAATTAACTCGTTTCTTTGGTTTAACAGTATATTTTGATTATTAAATTTTATTATTCTAATTTTCTCTAGTAAACACAGATTACATCTACTTTTAACACTAGGATGGCCAGCTCCTTTGACATCTTTATTTCCATTACGCCGTGAAGCAGTCATCTCTAATATATTTAATATTCAAGTCAGGAATAACAAGTCTGAAAAGAAATTCACAAATATTAGTAAACCTCATACTGAAAGAAAGTGATATTATATATATATATATATATATATATATATATATATATATAAAATAAATTATGTGTGTATAGATAGATAGGGGACATAAACACAAGTATTATTGCTTGTGAGAAATTTTTCAATGCATTTACCCTATAAATAGCCTAGGTGTCAAAAACAACACCCTGGCCATTCAAGGTAAAACCTAAAATATCAGCTATTCCACTGAATATTTTTTAAAGAATTAAGTCTGTTAAGCATCTTTGGTAAAATTCAATAATTGTCCATAAGCCTCAGCATCAAACCAAAACTAGTTATTCCATAGTAATTTGTTGAAAATTTGAAGGTGTTGAAAACGACACCTCCGCCATCCTAGTGTTAAAATTACTAGGAGTGTGAGCGAAGCTTATGATTTTACAGTCAATCTGAGTGTTCAGATCTTTCTCCCTCTCTTGGAAAGAGCATTTTTGGAATTTTATTTTTCATTTTATTTTATCTTGTTACCTTGATCAGTTTGAAAATCCTTACAAGTAAATCTTAACTTGTAAGGTGAAATGATCATAACTATCAGCTAATTTTAAATTCCTATTCTATGTAATATATGGTAAATTTCCAAAGATTATTTTATTTGTAAGGCTGGAGCTCCCCAGTTCTCACTTTCCAACCTTGATAAAGTTCAAAAGTTGTCTTATGGGTGAAATTATTTTCCACTCTACAATCCCCTTTACCACAGGCATTGCAGGCCTCTCACTACTGCTATTTCCATGGCAACTGCTCTGACAAGTTTCACCAGTTCATCCCAAAAGCCATTCAATCTTCACTTCTTCGAGTCTAGTGTCAACTGTTATCTATCCTACATATCTTCATAATCTACATTTCTTACTTCCTCCTCCTTATGTTCACAAAACTTCATTCAATAAACCTCAATCTTGAGTTACTCTATTGAGTGATTGTTTTTTTTTTTAGTTATGACCAAAAAAAACCCCAAATATTTTACTGTTTTCACTTTTGACTGTCACAAAGAAAGTGATTTGGTTGATTTCAACTTTTCTCTACAAAGAACTTTTCTGTAACAAATTCCAGTTTGCAAATATTCTTATGCTTTTTCCTTCAGTCTTGAAAATGGAATGCAGAAAGATGATATAGGCAAATTAAGTGAACCTGAAACTGACAGAACTCACACAATCGTCCTTCAACAGGTTTATCAACTAAAAAGCATGACCACAAAGCTTCACAATGCTTATAAAGGTCTCTATGTCGAGTCGATTCCAGGTGAGCTATTTATATTCCTCTTCCATTCTAAACAATCTTAATTTCAGTTTCTAATTTCTCTCTCGAGTTTCGTTCTGAATTTCTGGGATGAAGAGTTCCATTTGAAATTCCATGAAGGTTACCCAGACCAACAAGCTCCTGATGAATATCAGTGCACAATGGCCGAAACATAATGATGATAAAGATGACGACAATAGTGCATTTCTTTCTTGAGGTTTGTTCATTGACAAAATGAAAAAAAAAAAAAAGAATTCAATCACTTATTCTGGCTAGTATCCTTATCTTTGTTGTTTCAATCACTACATTTTGAGTGGTGGGTTTTCTGGCTTTCCTCAAATATGTGTTGTACATAGGGTAACTTTTTTTTTTTTCTCCTCCTACTTTCTGTCAGTTTAATCTTTATTGGTCACACATTTAACATGAGATGAATTTGCATAAGAATTTACTGCACCAAACTTTGTCCTGTTACACATTGGGAAGAAAGCATGAGAAATAATAAGGATTACTAGATGTCAGGTAAACTAAAGATATATCAGAGACCTAAGTGACCAAAAAAACAAGAAGAGAATATGTTAGAGGGTCCAAGTGACTAAAAACAAACTTCCAAATGACATAACAAATTGTCATAACATCAACTACTAATCTTCATCTTAAAGTGTAAACATCTACTTTTTTTTTTTTTTTTTACATTACTACAGATTAGTCAAATGGAACTGGGGAAAAAAAATGGAATTATCTAATTAAGTTAAAATAATTTGAAATTTAATTAAATTTTCTTTAAACTGTACAGAATTAATTACTTTTTTAAAATGTCAAAAAAAATTACATTTACTGATTATTATTAATATTAGAAAATTATTATTAATGTTTCTTTCATGATCTTCTCTGTCATTATATATCTAGTCAGAAATTCAAGTGGACTTACAAATGATAAAATGATCTTTAGAAAATAGATGTCCTGATGAAAATGTTGTCTATACAGAAATTTTAAACTTCTATGACAACTTTTCTCTGTTCCTAGGATGGGTAATAAAAAAAACAAGTGGAAATTTCAAAAGACCTTTTATTTGAATCTTTCTTCTAAAGATACTGTTGATCAACTGGATTTGATCAAATACAATGTAGGTTTTGATTTATTTTTTTTCTCTTTTTATTTAGTAGAAACTGGATCTTCCAAAGTTAAGGAAGAAAACGGTTTGGCCTTAAGAAAGCTTATTCGCAGTCTTTATGAGGAGGAGGAGGAGGAGGAGAATGATGATGAAGAGGAGGAGGAGGAGGAGAATGATGATGAAGAGGAGGAGGAGAATGATGATGAAGAGGAGGATGGAAATAGCAATGACAGCAGTAGCAGTGAAGAACTCAGTAGCCAGAGTGAGGGTGATCTAGAAACACTGGTTATATTTGGATTCGGGGGAAGAAAAAAAAATAACCACATGCAAAATAAATAAAAAAAAACATGAAAACCACAGTGAAGGAAGATCTTGCTAGTTGTTGAAATATGAAATGTTTTACTGAAATAATTGTTTTCATCTTTTTCTTTCATTTAAACTAACCTTCTGAGATGGGATTATAATTGTCTTTTATGATGTTTAGATCCTTACACGAAAATAACTAAGTTTATTGAAATTGCTTATTGGCTTAAGGTAATTTAATAATTAAATATGAGTGAATGTTCTTAGCCTGACAAAGAGCCCCCCACCACCTCAAAAAACAAAAATGAGTCTGATGTTTGAACAGATTTTAGAAAGTGATTTGGGCCTTAAATTTTCAGCATCCACCATATTTGCTACTGACTGTATTTTTAAGTCCTTTATAAATGCAAAAAAAGAAATTATATATCTTCCTTTTACTGATGATTTTCTGTTCAGCTTCTTGTAAATGAGGTGTTTGTTTCCCAACGCAATTTTACTGAGCCCTTCTTTTTTTTCTCCCCCCCCCCCTCCATTGGTGTCAGGTCCTTAGGCATTTGCTTACCATTAGTTTCTGGAAAGGGTGCATAGATTTGGGCAAATGTTTCTAAAAAAATTGTTTTATTGGCTGTGAGAAAATGGTAAAATCTGCTTGGGACCCTGGTTGATTATTCATTTCTTTCTCCTCTGTGTGTCTCCCCTCTCTCAAATCTTTGCACTAGTGTCTAGATGGACGGTGTGAAATGCAAACAGTTCCAACTACAGTTTGAACCAGTTTCACAGATTTTATCCTCCCCTTACACAAACTACACTTTCCTGTTTTTTTTTTAAACACGAGTTTTTCTTTCACTTGTCTGAAATTTCTAATTTTGCTGAAAATATCTAAATCTTAATATTTGTGTCTGCTTTCTCAAAAGCCTGAAAATTATTTATATATCTAAAAGCGTGAAGTCTGTCCATGTGTGAAAATGAATGAATATAATTTTATCCTAATTTGTTTTATATCTTGCCCCACTTTTAGATTTGTTATGGAGATAAGTAATTGCTATATTTAGCTTTAAAAATCAAATTTCTTACTCGTTTCCATTTTGGTTTATGGCAGGGGGTCAGCAACCCAAGCAATTTCCAATGGCATGCAGTCTCAGATGACATCACAAAGTCCGAACCAATAACTACTACAACGCAAAGAAGATATTTAACTGTTTCAATTTTAATATATACTAAAGTATATATACTATATATTACTATATAAAATATATTGTAGAACAGGTACATAGACATTGACTTGTACAAAAATACATAAGCTGTTGGCACATTGAATGATTTTAAAGCCCAAAGTCAGCACATAATTAGCAAAAGGTTTGCTGACCCCTGGATTATTGTATTCTTTATAAATAAGAGAATGTTTTGATGATGGCTTTCATAATCAAACTGCATAGGTATCAAAATCAAATTTACCAATTGAGGAAGCAAAATTGCTGCAACTTTGAAACTTGTTTATAGGCCAATTAAACCAAACGGATTTTAATAAAACTGTTAGATAATATCAAAACCAATAATTAATTCAATGTAGCTTTTTTAGTATCTTCAATTACAGCCTCAAAATACTGTACAACTATTAGCAATGAAATACTTGAACTTTTTGACCCACTTCTACTTGTTAATGTTGCGGGTGGGAGTTCTTGGTGGTGGCTGCCTTCAAAATGATATATTCAAATCTGGACTGAAAGAAGACCAAAAAAATCTGCAGAAGATCTGCAACTTAATTATGTAACTGAGGTCAAAAATCCTAGGCAGAGGGCATTTTTAGCCTTGGCTGGCAATCAGTCTAGGAGAATGACAACTGTGAATTTAAAATTTTAGGTCTTGGCCTAGCAAATCCACTCCATATAAATCAACTTGTTACAGCAGTGCCTGCACAGATGAGTCTGTGTCCCTCTGCTTTGTTTGGGGTGGGGTGGGTGTGCCTAAGGAAGCATAGAACACTGGTTAACCATCTTACAGACTATTTCTGTTGTGAGTTTTCTCTTTACTAGTTGCTCAAAATTTATAGCCTTGTGCCAGGATAAGTTTATTAAATACTTGTCTTAACAAGCATACTTAGGTGCCAATACAAGATGGAGGTTTGGGGGGGCTAGAATTTTTCTTGGTATGCAATAAATAGTGCTTGTGCCAGTGGGGGGATGGTTTTAAAAGGTCAGAAAAATTATTGGACTAGTCAAGATTGCAAAATTAATAAACAGGCTTGTCTTAACAAACCTGAGGTGGGAGTTGGAAAATTTCCTTAACTTCTGAGCAAATGAAATTTTCACTGAAACAAGTTTTTTAGTCGCCTACACTAAACTTCTTTCAAACCGTCTTCCTTCAAAATGTAGAAAATCATGGCTTGCATTTCTTGAATATTTGCAAATTGCCAGGACAGTTCTTTGGAAAGGAAAATTGGTGAAGAGGTTTCCTGTTACCTTCTCCCCATATTTGAATTCTGAGTAAGTTTTCTGACATTGTCTTAGCAAGGTTAGGGAGCCCAGTCTTCCCTACTATATTACCCATAGCTTGAGGTTGGGGAAGAGATTGATTTATTCCTTTTTCCAAAAAATTAATAGGAAGTGAATGCAACAGCCTTGGCCAGAATTTTATCTTTGCCTATCAAAGTTACCAAGTTAGCTCTTATGTAGCAAGATCTCGCTCTTGGCTTAGTGCATTTAGCTGCTGTAAATCAGCATCTGACTCTTCGTTAACATTTATTTCATAAAGAAGAATTAATCGACTTTTTTTTTTTTTTTCATTTATGTGCTGTGTCCCCTCAGGACATACACAGTCATGACTCTCCACAATTTCTTGTCCTTTGTAGCTCTTAATAAATTTCGTTTTTCAATGCTGATTTACAAGAGGTAAATGTCCTGAAAATTATCTCAAAAGGGAAACTCTGCTTGTGACCTGCATTGAACTAAGCTTAGTGAACAGAACTTGAAAACCTCAAAATTCTATTCTAGTATCAAATATACAAGTCTTCTTGAGTTGTGCTTTAAGCAAATTCAGGAAATTAAAATTTTACATCATCCAAGCTTGAAGTCACACTGCTGATATAAATGTATAAAAAAAAAAAAATATATATATAAATAATCTTGCTTGAAAAGAGCAAAATTAGTAACTTTACTGAAAGCATTTTCCACCTAGAAAACTTTGTATCCATATAACTTTCTTTTACAGGGGATGATGTCTGCTTTGAGATATAATGTCCAGTTTCTTTTTAATTTTCAGATTTTGATGGCAGTGGAGATAGCAGTGGTGCCAACGAAGATGATGAAGACTACAACAGTGGTTCTGGCAGTGGAGATACAAGCAAAGAATACGCTGCCAGGCCTGGAGAATCTGGTTCCAATGACCCCAAGAGCACAGGAAATTATTACTTTGTAACAGAATCCACACCTGTGCCTACACAACACCCTTCACTTGGCAGCAGTGCCGAAAATTCAGCCTCTGGCTTACTACGGCCATTTGCTATTGGTTTTAGTTTAGTAATGGCATGTCTGCTAATTGTATAATCCAGCTGTCAACTTTGATTTCAAACAGCAAGAGGTGAAATGAGATACGTTTTGATTAGATGCAAAGAAACCAAACACTGGTACTTTCCATGTTTTTCTTTCTTCGTCCTCTTCTTCATGCAACCGTTGTCAGTTTGGAGTGAAATAATTTTTACTGCTATACTTGAAACTGCTGTAAAGATTTTCAATAATAATAATAAATATGAACGAAGAGGAAAAAAAAAAATGTTAAAGAATAAAGAAATTATGGGATGGGTGGATTGTGTATGTTATGAAAAAAAAAAAAAAATTTATTTTCTTAAACACCAAACAAAACAAAAAAATTATAAAAAAAAAAATATATATTTAGAAAGGGGAGGGCTATAAAACAAATATATATATATAGAAAATCTCAGAAGGTGTTGCTAACAAATTTTTTGCTATGGTATTGTTTAAGATAAAGGTACATTTAATTTTTTTTTTTTTTTTTTTTTAATTTCTTATATTTTTTAAAAGAATAAAAAAAAAAAACCGTTTCCCCTCCCTAACCTAACTCTTGCCTATGATGGAATTAATAGTTCCTCCTAAGCAATTTTCTTCCCCCCCTCAGTCTTCTTTCTTCACCCCCACCCCATCAAAAAATATTGAGAAACTTTTTTGTCATCCCTAATGTGTGAAGAATACAAAGCAATAATAGAATATTGATATTTGAGTAAAATATTCTGATAATTTAGCATTTGATTCATGACATTTCTATAATTATCCAAAAATATTTTAAATTTTTCCTCCCATATATATATATATATATATATATATATATATAATGATGAATAAATACTATGGATTTAAAAAAAAAAAAAATGGAGAGAAAAAAAAAACAATATATTTCTTCATTTTCAGGTTTGATCATATCTTTTTATAAAAATGTTTCATTAAAAAATTTAAGACAAAATTAATTTGTTGCAGTGAGGACATGTTGAGCTTGCTTAAAGATTGAAAAAGGGGGAAGGGGAAATTTAAATAACGAAAGAAAGGAAAGACAAGAAGAATAATTGTCTGAGACCAACAAGAAAAGAAAATTGTGGTGGGGGAATAAAAGGCCTGGAGATTTAAGGTTTTAAAAAAAAATGTTTTTGGAACAAAAGGTTTTCCTTAATTGACTTCTGAAATGACTCAATCTCCCAGTTAATTCTCTTACTGCTACTTGAAAGAAGTCTTCAAAAAAAATAAATAAATAAATAAATAAAATAAAAGACCAGAATGCAAAAGAATCTTTCCAAAATCTGATGGGTTGGGAAGAGTACACTTGACCCCTTGACCCAGGTTTTGTTTTTGTTTACAAATGAATCCACATGTTTATAATGATAAAAAAAAAAAAAAATTATTATATAAAATTAACAGAAACAGTTTTTTTAAATTTTTATGTGAAATTGAAAAGAAAAACAGAAAAAAAAAAAACTCCCTCCCCCAAAAATGGTATTCTCACTGACTACACATCTTAAAGTAGCCTCTTTGTAATGGGGGATCAAGCAGTTCCCCTCCGCATGACAACAGAACATTCAAATGTGTAAAATCAAGTTTCCTTGTTCTCCCACCCCCTCTTCTCTCCATACACTGTTTTACTTTTCTTTTTTTCTTTCTTATAATGCATGTAAGTACATAATTTTCTTATAATGCATGTAAGTACACTAATTGTTTAGTTTACTCTTCTTCCTTCCCTTCCATGTCTACTCCTTCCTTTGTCTGTGATTGGAATGAAAGAATAAACAGGTTATTTTATATTTTTATTATCTAATATATATATATATATATAACACACACTGCTTGACTGTACTATTTTTAAGGTGGGGCTAGTAGGAGAGGGAGACCAATTCAGTTTTCAAAAAATGTGCACAAGACAAGATAAGAGAAAAATAAAATTAATTTAGATATCAAAAATTCCTTTTTCTCTATGACTGTCTTGTCTTTTTACAAAAGGTTTATTTGCCTGAAATTATCCTCCCCACTATTTTTTTTTTTTTATTATCTCCTTACAAAAAGTAGTCATAAAATGTCTAGTAAGAGTATTTACCTGCTCCCCTTGGTTTTTGTCTGGTGAATAAATGTGTGTGGCATAACATATTTTGCTTGTTTAAGTGAACAAGTGACTTCACTTGAATGTCTTTGTTTATTTAAATTATTGCAAAAAAAAACAAAAAAAACAAAATGGTGAACTTACTCATGATAAATGATTCAAACTTGGAATAACTTGAGTTCCTTTTCAGGGAGTCAAATATATTTATTTGTGCCTGAAGATTACGTGATAATTTCTTTTGGGTTTTTTATGTCTTTTCAAGAGAATTTTTTTTTACAAAAAAAAAAAAGTCATTTTGTGTATGCAGGAAGAATTGGCACTCGATTTCGCAATTATTTGTCTGGTATCAAATCCAGCAATGAATCCTTTGCACTCTCCATTGTTCCGAATATTTCCCATGTTTGGCTTCTCTCACCATTTTCAGTTGGACTTTGAAATTCAAACACTTTCCACACACACCCTTTATTGGACTCTGAATATTTAGAATTCCTGAAATCCTTCTCGACCATTTGAACTCGTGTCACTTTTTAGCACTCTAAACTGTGCCAAATTTGATCCCACCTTCTTGGTGTTAAGGAAACTGGCATTTTTTTCTTTCTCTCTGAAACATTTTCCCCACTTCCTCTAACTCAACCAATATCTGATTCATCTTCTTCATCAGATCATATATCTGATTTGGACAGTGTGACCAAATAAACTACTCTTGAGATGGGTCTTAATTTTTTTCTCATGAGTTTGAGAGTCAGGGAGTTAGTTACCCTTTCATAATTAAAGATAATCCTCCACAATACTCCTCCCCCAACAAAAAAAAAAATCTGATAGCAAACTAGCATGTTTGTTTAAAACAACAATTTTTGTCTTTTTGAAGCAAAAAAAAAAATAATAATTTTAACCAAATTTATTTGGGCAGTGAAACTTTGCTAAAAAAAGTTATTCCTGTCCAATTCTGAAAGTGATTGAAATTCTTCCCACTTCACTTCAGGTCTCTAAGATTGTTTTGCAATTTTCTTTTCTGTAAATATATTTTCTCCAAATCAATATTTCAAAATTCAACTCAATGGTAGCTGGGGAATTAATATAAACTAGTTTTTTTTTTTTTTTTTTTCTAATTAATGTCTTGATATATAAACAGTTCTGATTTCCGTCCTGGTATGAAAGAAAATGTCAGGCTGTTGGTATTTCTAACTGAACCCCCTTTTTACACTTTCTCTCAGCAAGCAAAAACTTCTCTGTAGGGTATGAATGTTTCTATTTATAAAAGCATCTGAGTTCATTCCCCCTGCCAACCAAATACTTTGCCTTGTCAGCAACTTTAAATTGAAGTCAAGTCAATCCTGTGATTAATTTCACCCCCCCCCCCACACTTGCTTATCATGTAACGAATCGTTTAAATTTAATCTTTTGTTGTAGATTAAAGTATTTGTCTGTTTATCTCTCTTCATTGATTTTTTTTTTTCTTTTTAGTTTCCTACTTTGTATCAAAATTCTCTGAGCATGCTCAGAGAGAATATAACAAATGGTGGAATCTGCCTAGAGGGTAATAGGGAGTGCTAAATATATGTATATGTCTTGAGGGCTGACAATCAAAGGTCGTCATATTCAAACAATTTCAGAATTATTCATATGGAACAGTAAATTTTGATTGAAGAAATATTTGGATAACTGACACAGTTTATGATTTCAAATGAACTTTCCAAAAAAAAAAAAAAAAATATATATATATAGACAGAAACACAAGGAAGAATGAAATGTTTGAACTGACCTGATTTAATTTTTTTTTTTTTTTTTTTTTTGGGTGTGGGGAAATGATTACTGAAGGTAATTGTTAGCTCTGAAGGTGTGTGTTTTATACCGTGCCAGGGAAATGGGAAATTATTTTAAAAAGATCACTATATTTTTAAAATATTGTACACAGGCTCAACTTAGAGAAAAAGTGAGTTTGTTCAATCAAACTGTCCACAGATTTGAGGAATGGTTTTTGGAAATGTCTGTATATCTGGATCAAATTTTTATTAGTGTTGACCATCACATCCATGAAGGCCAAATTCAACAAGTTCTTGGTAGTGTAAGAGATACTGGTTGGTTTCCTGCATGAAAATGTCCAGACCTAGCAGTCAGGGGATTCAGATGAGGAGAGCAAAGAGGCTGAAATTCTCAGCTAACCATCCTCTCAATCCACAGCTTTATCATCATATTGAGCATTTTGATGTAAATGGCAACATCACAGATGACATGGATATAGTGTACACCACAGTGGGCAATTGCCGGGGGGGAGGGGGGCAGTGCAGAGTCACCTCTCATTCTTGTTAACTTTTCTGGTCCTAATTCTTGTTCAACAAGTGCTTCAATCAGATCACAACATTCTCTTGGGTCCTATTTAATAGTAGTAGTTGCTGCCACCTTAAGTGACGTGACTGTCTCATTTTGATTTGCAAGATTTGTGACAGTCATATCTAGAAACCTTGAGGATTGGGGGGGGGGTTGACTCAGTCACTCTTACATCTGGTTGCTCAGAATGTTGCTTTTTCTTGGCAATGAGTGAAACATTCCTGCCAGGAACCTCCAGCTTGTTCCTGACTTTGAACCCAGGGAACTTTTGGTTGTCTTCTAGAAGCTTTGGAGTTGACGTTTACGGCTAGTGCCATAAGCACTTGTCTTGCCATTTTTCATTTCCTGTGCCAGACTGGAGGATGCTGAATACATCTGAAAGAAAAGTGGGAATATTGAAATTTGGCACATGTCACATAACATTAAGTTAGGTTATCTTCCATTTAAAAGTGTGTCTTGAAATACCTTGTATGCTGTGAATGTGTGTGTGTAACTGACAGACACCATGTTGTGTTAATTTCTATGTTCACACAATATCTACAATGTTCTGTCCCTAATATTGAGCACTCTCCCATCTCTCTCTCATATATATATATATATATATATATATATATATATATGGAATTAATGGATTTTAATCCAATGTTATTTCAGTAGATTAACATGTTTTAGTAGCAATCATTTTTTTTTTTAAAAAAGTAAAAAAAAAAAATGTCAACTGGCCTATAGATAGAAATTATTATTATACTGAGAAGTACATTTTCTTTAATAAGATTTGAAAGCCAGAGGACATTTTATAAAAAAAAAAAAAAAAAAAAGACATCTGCTCAAATACCTAAAATAATGTTTATAGTCAAACACACAGCTTATGGCTATGTCATGTTGAAACCCCAGTTCTCATACGATCACCAAATTTAAGCAACATCAAGACTGGTTAGTACCTAGATGGGTGACCAATCTGGGAATACCAGGTTCTGTAAGCTTGGATACGCAGGTGGTGTAATGTTTAATACCTCAGAATTGGAAGTTGGAGAGCTGAGTTCCATTCCCAGTGGGAAAGGCATGAATCCATCTCTTCACCACCCCCCAGCTATGGGTTAATTAGTAGGACTTATATCAGTAAATCATGATTCTCTCCCCAAAAAATTCTTACAATCCCAAAATATTTTCTGGTTTCAAATAACCTGTAAAAGGTTAAGCTGATAAACACACACACCCCAGAGAGAAGTGATGGACAGCTGACTGATTCTGAATACTGTAGGTTAATTTTTTTTTTTTTTTTAATTCTCACAGGGTTGTCATTCCCCCCCCCCACTCCGATTGCAATTTAGTGAATGAATGAATTCAAATGCGACTCTGCCCACTTCTCACCCCCACCCTCTATTTTGATCCCATGGAAGGGATAGGAAAGTGTATGAAGAGGTTAAAACACACAATAAGTAAAATTTATCTACAATCAAAGAAGGAGAAGAGGTAACAAGTGAATGAAGAGAGAAAAAGAAAAAGAAAATTATATATCTGAGAAACAACTTGTAAATATTTGTACGTCAAATAAATATCTTTTGGTTGAACCTGTTTTTTGCCTGACAGGTTCTTTCATTGCTTTTGTACATAGACTTCATTGCCTTTTTCTCTCAACTCTTTGATTTAAAAAAAGAAAAAAAATGTAATTGTTACCAAACTGCACCAACTGACCCCCTTTTTTTTTCTTTTTTTTTTACTAAAGTAAAGCTTGGTGCGGTTTAGACATCAACTTTCGTCTTAATTAAATTATGACATTGCTAAAAGTTTGGTTTTTTTTTTTTTTTTTTTATCCACCCCTTTTTTTTTCCTTATCCCCCCCTTTTTTTTCTCTTCTATTTGTGAAACAGTTCAGAAATCTACAAGTTTTGGTGGAAACAAGTGTTTCAAAGGTAGGCGGTTGTTTTATTGGTTAAAAAAAAAAAAAAAAAAAAACTACTACAAATCTCAACCTCCTCTTACTTCCTTATACACCTGCACACATTCGCCCATGAAGTGTGTGCGTAAAAAAAAAAAAGAAAAGAAAAAAAGTCTATGAAAACTTAAAAGTATCATTCACATAATGTACAGAGAAACAATGTCAATAAAAAAACAAAAAACAAAACAAACTTTAAATGAAGCCTTAAATGTTATTTCTTTGTCTGCAGTCATCAGGAGATGCATGGATCTGTGTTCAAGTTTAAATTTATTTCATATTCTTTGGTAAGCTCTTGCCAAACAAGCATGTTACTTCTCTTGCTGGCTGGACCTCTTCTCAGAATATCCTTCCCTCAGATCCCAACTGATCATTGAATAGTTGTTTTATGCCCTTTGCCAAGGCTATTAGTGAGGAGTCCATACAAACAGTTCAATAAATCTAATTCAATTGGCTCTTTTCATTATTTAAAAAAAAAACAAAAAAAACTGAAGTAATCAGTTGAAAAAACACGGATACAATATATGCTAATAAAAAATTTATAAGTTTTGTAATTTCTTGGTACACTCAATCTAGTAAAGCCAGATTATGCTTATGCTACAGTAGACGTGCAATTTTTTTTTTTCTTCAGAACTTGTATCTTAGGAAAATAATAAGTTAATTGGTATATTTAGCAGTCATTTTGAATATTAACGTTATTAAAAGTGTCAGTTTTGAATGATGACATTATGAACAAACTGTTCCGTCATTACTAATGACCGCCATATTATAGCAGCCATTATTTTATTTATTCTAAAATATATTTTAATTCTTAATCAGTTTTTGAAGACTGAAACATTTTGCATCTTCGAATCATAATTCGTTTGATTTTATTATTATTATTATTAGGCTGTTTCTATAGTTTAACAAAATTCGTGATCACTGAAACTTCTTGTGGGAAACTGAATAGAAAAAGAAATGACGTAAGACACTTTTCTGAATTGGGGATTAAAAAAAAATTCCTACTCCTTCCATTTTCAAAAGACAATCATAACACTGAAATTCAAGACACTTGCAATAATTTTGAATAAATTTTTTAAAGTTATATCTTCAAACATTTTCGAAACTAAACCAAAAGAAAAAAATGATTTGGTTCCTTGTTCTATTTGCATATAATTTAAATTTACATTTTATTTTAACAATTTTAATAATTAATCGATAAAAAAAAATAATATAATTGACGGTATAAGTGAGGATGAACGGCTTTAGTGTTTAATGGTAATTTAGTATCTTGAGCCAGTTTTCAACCAGGTGCCGTAAGCTTAGATGTGTGGGTGGTGTAATGTGTAATAACTTAGGCTTGTTAATCGGAGAGCCGGGTTCGAATTCCCTTTGAGTTCGTTATATTCTCTGACGCACAAATACCCTTGGGGAAAATCATGAAAACCACTACAGATATGGTTCTAAATAGTAAAACTGGTTTCATTAAATCATTATTATCCTCCTCCTCCCCGCTAAAAAAAAAAAACTTCTTACAATCTCAAAAAATATTTTCTGGCTTTAAATAACCTGCAAAAGATTGATAGCTGTAGAAAACTCAGTCTTCATTTCCTTGTCATTACGTGTTTTTTTTTTTTGGTTTTTTTTTTTTGTTTGTTTGTTTTTTTTTTAATCGTGACACAGAAGAACGATTATGAAAGCAGAGAAAAATGGCTTTTAGACAATAGAGACTAAAAATTAGGGAAGAATATATTTTCATTTTTCATTAATAAAAAAAAAATGTGTAATTCATAATAATGAAACTGAAATGTAAGTAAAATTTTAATAAACTAAAAATGTAACGGGTCTATTTGATTATTAAAATAAATATAATTCATGTCGGCAACATTTCGTTAATTTAAATCCTAGCGGAAATATTTTTCCAACGAACGTTTTTCTCATGAATCATTTACTTTTCTTGCTTCATATATTTGCTTATTCTAACAAAGACCTTCATTATTTTTTTTTTTTTTTACCTCCTGACTCCAGTAAATGTCATAGAGTAATATTTTCATATAAAATAGGTAACATCTTTAATAACATTTTAAGATATAAATAAGTCGTTTAATTTGTAATAATGAAAGTTATATTTTAATAAAATTATTTTAATAAATTTAAATAAGACTTGTTATTTCTTTTTCTTTTCTTTTTTAGCAACGTTTACTTCATTACGATCTTATCTGTTTATTTTGAAATAAATATTACTTAAAATGCATCAAATCAAAGTATTCTATCAATTTTTCTCCCCATTAGACATTTTTTTTGACTCTAACAAAGAAGACCTTACAACTTTTCTTCCATAACCAGTTTCCAAGGGCATTGCTTCTCGGCCATTTGATCCGAGGCACAAAATTAACTATTTAAGTTCAGTCTTGGAGTTGGGGGGGCGTCTCTCCTAACAATACTTTTCTCAGTGAAGGGTCTACAGCCGTTAGCTAGCATCCCCAAAAGGGAAAAGTGCTGCTGAAACAATATTTGGCTTCTGGTCATATGCATCAACCACTTCAAAATTGGCCTTGTGCCACATTCCGTTCAAGTGAAAGTTTAGATAAACCCCCTTCATTTCTCAAAGACGCAAATCTGACACCATTCCTATTGCAAATCTAACAGAATTTAATGCACATTTCAGGCAATTTCATTTAATGCTGAGCTGCATTTTATTTTAAAAATTAAAGAAATATTTGAGTACAATTGCACCGAACCCATAACCAAAACTTTGCTTTCTAAATATTAAATATTCTATTCGCCACTAAATCACAATTTTAATTGGCCTCGAGATCAGCCAATTCCGGATGACATGGACAAGTATTATGCAGACGAAAAGTAACGCCACCTATTGTGTTAGGCCCCACGATATCACATGGTGATTTTCTAAGCATAGCTTAGATGTGACACAAGGCCGAAAGTATAAAGCACCCAGTGAGGATCGAACTCTCTACTCTAGTCACAATTGTTCTAGTGAGACAAGTTTGCTAGCCATTACACCAGGTTGAGATGCCCCCACGATATCAGATGGATGTTGGTGTATGGCGATAAAGGTTAAACCTTCTCATTCCTAACCTATAACTTTTTTTTTACCCTACTATAGATAGGACTGGCAAAATGCCATTTGACAGGAAAGTGTATACTAAGCAAATCATTGTCATTGAAATCCTCCATGCAAAAAATTGTCATTCTAACATTCATTGCTGCTTGCTAAGCGTTTATAGGGAGCAAATAATGGATGTGAGCACAGGCGGTGTGTAATGCATTTCAACAGAGGCGGTAGTGATGTGAATTAGAAGTCAAGTTTATGAACACACTATACATCGTTTGCAAAATGCAGAGCCAATGATACTGACCGTGTAGGAGAAATACTTCTTTGTAACTGAAAACTTGCTCACACAACGATGATGTTATTGTAATAACCTTGAAAGTGTTATAGCTTCAGTTGAAATTGGTGTTTGCCTTAAGATAGAATCGCCTGTTCACTTCCAAAAATTAGTATTGCAAAGTCTGTTGCTAAAACAGTTGGTTCACTGTGTCGTGCAAAACCGTTTTTTCTTGCCCAAATCTTGTCTTGCACAATTTTTTAGTCTATCATTCGTCTGTGGCTTGAATATAGTTGCCACATTTGGTCTGGGGTTTCTATTATTTATCTTGAAATTCTGGAAAACAAACAATAATCTGCAACATTATCGGCCTCGAACTGGCATCTCGGCTTCAGTCACTTTCCCACAGCTCTAGCATAGCTTCCCTGTGCCTTTTATACAAATATTTTCTGATGAGTTTTTATCTTTGCCACCTTGACTTCATGAATTTAAGTGTAGTACTAGATTGGAGGTTAGGTCTCGTTATTTTACAGTTGAAATTGCTAAATGTAACTAACGTCTATTTTAAGTTTCTTCTCTCGCCTGTGGAACTCTCTTCCGGTTTCTTGCTTTCCCGTCAACTGCAATCGACAAAAATGTAAATGCAGCGTCATTCATCATTTTCTCTCCTCTTGAATCCGGTTCTTTTCAATGCCCGTTCTTCTTAGTAATGAGAA